CTGTGGGTGGGGGGCAATAGGTCAGGAATGAGGGGTGCTAGGAGGGCTGTAGGCTGGGAGTGAGGGGCAGCAGCATATCAGGGCTGCTTAGTGCCATAAAGCAGCAGAGGGTGGGCAGCCACAACTGGACCCATGTTTTGATGAGCGAAGGGGGAGGGGGAGCTCTGATTTTCCATGATAAAAAAACCAAAATCAAGTGCCAAAATATATAGGTATTTAGAATTTATTATAATGATTGAGGTGCTGGTAGGCTTCCAAATTGCCTTAGAATAGTAAATATATCAGCAAAACATTGTGTTTAACTGATCCCTATAGAGTGGCATTTCATTTTAATTGTGTAAAAACACAGATTTTGGGGTTTATAGTCAGAGAGTTTTGGATTTTTAAATAGAAAAAAAACAGGATCTCTGGTCATAACCCATTCCTTTTGTCATAATTCCTACCTACTGTATAAAATTCAGTAAAAGCTATAGGCGCAGTTTTTTGTGATCATGTATGCCACGCAACTAAACAGCATTTGTTCTAAGAAATCTTATTACTTTATTAATAAAAACAGCAATTAGAATGAAAGATCAGATTATCTAATTAGAGAAGACAAGTGTGGCTGTTTAATGCCCTTTTTCATTTTTCTCTCAAAATTTAAAAATAATTTTGAACCGGGAGGCAGAATTTCTGGATGAGGTTTATATTTCAGTGTCATTTTTTGTTAAATTACAGATATTTGCAGTTATCTACTCCTTTGCAGGACTGAAATCTGTAGTCATCATTACAAACAAACCTTCCCCCAACATGACAAAATCAGGTTTTAGATTTTTTTTTTTGCATAATTCATTTCCATTATGAACTGCAGTGTATTCACTTTCATATGAAAAAGTTTATAGGCTATTTGGTTGGTTACATATGCTAAGCAGACATGTTGGATTATACTAAAGCTCCACAGCTTCAGTTCATTGGAAAGTAAAACTAATTCCCACCTCAGCACACAGAAGGACATTTGTGTACTGTCGCTCTATTACGTAATTTTTAAATTCAAAAGTGACAGCTATTATTCCTTCTTAAAGAAGCATATACAATTATACCTTTTTTTTTAAACATTAGTTTATATATGTGCACCAAGTACAGGTATTCCTCACTTAATGTTGTCCTGGTTAACATTGTTTTGTTATTACATCGCTGAGTTATTAGAGAACATACTCATTTAAAGTTGCATGATGTTCAGTTATAACATTGTTTGGCGGCCACCTGCTAGTAAGTAACTAATGTGACATAACTGTTACCATTGTTTCACTTAAAGTTGCATTTAGTTGTACATGGTAATTATGAGCAAGATTATGGGTGAAATACTAGCCCCACTGAAATCAATAGTAGTACATCATTGACTTCAGTGGGGCCAGGATTTCACTTCATGAAATAGTTTATGGTGCATATATAAATAAATCACTGAACACAGTCCTGAGGTCTGCAAGAGGTAGACCTTAATTCTGTATTCATTCCTACAAGTCTTGTTTTTTTCTCTGTATCTTGACTACTTTTAAACTAACCACAAACTAGCATGTCACAAACACCTAATACTCTTCTTTTTCAAGTCATTTGCCAAACGAACTATGCCTCATTGGAATGTACTTATGAATAATAAAATAGCTGTTTTTCTCAACTAAGGAACTTTGTTTCAAATAGGTAGTCATCCTTTAGGTAATTAAATGCCTGTGTAGAGAAGTCTCAAGTTATAAAATAATCCATAAGGAATGTTAATATTAGTATCTAGTAGCTATAACATTTTACCCTAAAAAGGACTACTTGATTAAGCAGCTGAATGTTTTTTGTTCTTAGCCCTTAGTTTGTGGTGCTGAGAATACCGTAACATCGTTACTTCCTTTTTAAATGCAAACCACTTTTCATGAAGCAACACTAGAATGGTTAGTCATCAGGGATGTTTTTTAACAGGTAAAAAGATAAGATGGTAGCACAGTTTCACACTGAAAATAATTTTATTTTAATATAAGTCTGATATTACATTAGATATATTAGAAATCAGACAAGTATTTTTTTAAAACCTAACCTTTAACTCTTGACTGCGCTATTGAGTTAGACAAAATAATAGAAGATCTTTTTTAAGATGCCAACTTCATTTCACTGAATGTCCTTTTGCAAGGCTTCCATTAAATTTATTTGAGGGGTCTTGAGCACAATTTATTTTCAGTAACTGCAGTGCTTGTTTCAAGAGTCTAGAGAACAAATATCCAAGTTCCTTCAGATTTTTAAACCAAGCAAGGGAATTTACAGTGCCAGGCAATGCTTTTAAAATATCATCGTCTCAGCTGAGCAAGGGCCAATGCCAGCAGCAGGTTCATAAATGGATTTGAAAATAGCTTAACATTACAGATACTTCATATTTTATTTAAGCTGAGAATTGCTTTTTTACCCTGTCAGCTTTCAGATTGCAGTGCAGAATGAACAGGTAATAATTTGCTTTTGAGAATGAACACTGTAATGAGAAGGTCACTCACTGGAAAAAATAAGCCTTTTAAGATCAGTGACAAGAGAACCCACCAAAGGTGGATGGATAATTTCTTGGTGCTAATGGAAGCCCTGCTCTGTGCAAACTTACAGAGGTACAATATTAAACAAATCACAAGGTTGAGGTATTAGCTGGATAAAAGTATGTACATCTATACATCTGTGCACATACAATATTCACAAATCTACTGGCCCCAAGATCAGCAAACCTTGGTATTAAGAGAAAAGAAATCATGTACTGATCAGGGAAATTATACGTGCAGAGAAGCTTTAAAAAACACACTTCACAGAATCCTTAATATAAGGAACATTTCTTTTTAACATGCTTAGAAGAAATCAAATGATCTAGAAAAAGAAATCATATTTTAGTAGTGAGGAAGTCTGAAGTGCTCCAGAAAAATTACAAAATCATCTCAAAGATTAGGCCTGGTCCTACATACTGGGTATATCTACACGAGATGCTAGAAGTGCAGTAGACTAATTCTACTGTGCATTACTGTCACAGTGAAAACCAGAGCTTTATAGGTTTCAGATAATCATACTTAATCTTATAGTCCTCTGTCAAATTTTGGTTTTGAATACACATTTTCCTATTTATTCCTTTGTTGCTGCATGAAAGATCCACACACAGGGCCCTGGCCACTTTTTTATTCAAGGAAAAACTGAAATTAACACAAATGAAAAAAAAACTTTGAAAACACAGATTGCTATACTGACCATTTGAAGGGAAAATGGTCTCATTACTTGTAATAGTATACAAAAAATTTCCAGAAAAGTTTTTAAGTTTACTCTGCTTTTAAAATAGAGTGCCTGTTATATGTTAATAGTTATACATATTTTTTTCTCTTCTGAAATCTTCCAAAAAGAATGAAGTACATTTTTAAGGGTCCTAAATTAACCTTTAATCTGGTTGTAGATAGAACAAAGAATGTCAACTGAAAGGATGGGCAACATATTTTACTTTAAATTGGTCACAGATTTGGTTTTATGTCTGCATAAGATTTGTTTTACTGTTTTTAAAGGTCATCTGCAAAGGAGAAAAACTGGCTTATGCCCATTTCTGTTCATTATGTATCAAGATGGCCCTGCAAGGACTTGCTAATTTAAAATGACCTCTTCCTGTTTATTATAGCTGCAAAATTCAGGCCCTCACTGGAAAACAAATACACTGAGAACTAGTGATGTGGTAGTCACAAGTGTCAAGAGTGAAATCCGATCTGCTGAGGATAGCAAAGGTTTTCAGTAAGACTAAAATGTTAAAGAGTATTTTATGATTACATTTTGAAGAAAGGACATCTTGAAAGCTTCTAACATCCCATCCCTTCAGGTAACATCTTGCTTGCAATACAAGTGCCCTGTAGTATCCAGCAGAACCTTCTAGCAAAAGAAGAAAAGAGACCACCAATCCTCACATTTTTCAAGTAGGAAAAAATAATTGGATTTTTGTTGAAGTACATCATAAAGAAATATAGGAATCCACATGCTGACTTAGAAAGAATCCTTGCAGGTTACTCTTATGGTAGGCAGGAAATAATACCCATCCTTAACCATTCCCAATACTGGTATATAGAAAAAAAGAGACCCTGCCAATATTTAACCTATTAAGAGGCTGGGCACACAATTCATTTGCATCCGTGTTATTTACATCATTTGTGTACACTGCTGAAAATTATACTAAGTTCTAGAAAGAAGAACAGGTATGGAGTATGGGCTGCCTACAACAAGCACTATTACAGCATGTAGCTCTTAGGTTGCAGGGACCATACAACAGCTTTGGATGAATCGTTAAAGTGGGAGTGATTCTGCTACATCTGTAACCCCACAGAGGTTGGTGCTTAGTCTGGAGCAACAGCTCCCCCACCCTTTCCGAAACTACTAGAAGCTTATGCGTTTTCTATCAACACTGCTGTAGTTTTACCCCCACCAGTTTTTTCAGGATAATTCTAGACTAGATTCAGGTAGATTGCACTGGTTAGGGCTGTACATTATGTTTACCTTGGTTTAAAGGCTGATTTAGCTGGTGTAAAATGCATTGTCTGTCTGAGCCCTATGCACCGGGGAGCATTTTTGCTGAATGGCATGTTCTGTGAAAAGTGGTAACTTTTTAATAAATTGTTATTCACTGGAATGAATTGTCCAGAAACTATCAGTGTGTCTAGGCTGCCGTGCCAACTGCAGTAACAACTGTTGTGTAGTTTAGAGCTATACAAACTATCTTTAAACTAACTAGGCTGTTGCCAGTAACCAGCTGAGTAGAGTTCCGCAGATTAATTTTCCCTGATTTTCAAGCGAAGCAGAAACTACTACAATGTAGATACATCCTCCTGTATTGTCAGCAGCTTTACTGAGTACCTCTTAACTGTAGCTTTATAGCCCCAATATTTTTATAAACACGCTACAAAACGATTCTCTCTTGTACTCTCTAAATGTCATTCACAAGCATACTGAAGCATCTATGAAGTAGGGGGCAAGAATGTATAAGGTTAATTGAAACAATTATTTTATTAAGACTAGTTTTGTATATTATTTCCCAAACGAACATAGTTGCAATGATTTCCAGAACTCATGGAATTCATATTTGCTTTTTCTTTTTACTTCTACAACAAACATTTGGGGAAATTCTAAAGTAAATAGATGATTCATAATCCCTCTTCACTTACCCCACAGATCAAGTAGAAGGGACATACAGCAATGAAACCCCTGTTCTTCCTCAGCTCTACTTTGTAATTCACCTTTGGTATCAACTTTGAACATTTCTCTTTCAAATGCCCAAAAATGTTGTGTTCTGATTACTAATTTTATGAGTCAGCAGCAAGCCTGTTCCATGTTGCACTACTATATATAACACAGGGCATTTTCAGTGAGACACTTAAGAAAAGGCATATAGAAAAGGATTTCAGGGCCACACAGCAGCATTTAAGCGCCTGTAGGGCCAAATTCTGTTCTCAAGTTACATCAAGTTTAAATAAAAAAACCCAAAAGTCTGGTAAAGTCAATGAGGTATTGGCTTCAGTGATATAATTATACTGGTGTAATCTGAGAGCAGAATTTGGCTCCTTACAAATCAATAATTAGTATTCTCAATACATCAAACATTTTGCTACACAGCATCTACACAAGACACTTTACCGCAGAGGTGATGAATTAGCTCTGCAGTAAAGCATCACTGTCTGCAGGTGTGCCACTATTAAGCCACAGTAAACTAATTAACTTCACCACAGAATAGTACTGACTGATGCAAATACCATCCTATGGCCAAATTATTTAATATGCTGCAACACATGCGTAGATGATACTAGAGCTGGCTGGGGCACAAGGGCGCCATAATGTGGGGTTGTCTGCCAGTTAGCCCTGCACTGGAGCACTCTTGTGCCCCTGCCAGCCCAACAGCATGTTGGAGCAGGGCAGGAGCACCTCCAGACTGACCCCCACTGGGTGCCCTACCAGCTGGGGATGCACTCAACATGCTCTGTTCCTAGACGCATGTGTAAATGCTGTGCCCTGGAGCAATAAAAACTCTGGCATGAACTGTGCCAGAGTTTATTGCTTCACATTAATAGCATATGTAGATGTGCCCAACCATGTGGAAATTACAACTTAAGTAACACAAACCAAACTCAAAACTCTCTCACTCTATGGGCACAAAGTAGCGTGTACTCAATGGCTTCAAAATACCTCTTAATTTGTGTCAGTGAGTTCAGCTCCATGCAATTTAAGTGTACAGCCCATAAAATTAAAGTATATTGAATTAGATAAGTAATTGGTATATTTGCTCATGTACAGAAAATCAATTTAGTAAAGTTTTGGACTGAACAGCTTTACACCCTGAAACTTTCTCTAGTTCCTGTTCTTGGCCAAATGAGTAGGGCTCATATCACAGCAGTATGTAACAAATTAGTGAAGCATTTAATAGTTGGCAAAAGTGTAACAAGGCACATGGCTCAACATTAGCGGTGATTTTCCTGGGTTCATGAATGATGCCTATAGAAGAATAAGTTTGAGGAAACTAGTTTAAAATGAATAAGAAATTACGTCTCTGAAGAGGAAAAAGTTTTTTTTTTTTTTAAAGTTAAATAACTATCAAATGTTTTTTCCCCCCTACTTTTGCAGTGAAAATTAAATAAGCTGTAAAATGCATGTTAAACATGTGTGTGGACTTACTACTACTGGAATACCGAATGGCAGAGTTGCTATGAATTGTTTCAAGTACTAAAAGCAACGTCCATAATTTCTCTACTGCACTTTGCAACTATTTACTTTAAAAAAAAAAAAAAGATTAATGTAGTTTCTTAGCATTGCTAAGAAATGCTTAAAAACTACAATAGCTAATTGCTACTCTACACCATATCAATTTACCCCAACATATATTTAGGAATATACACTGCTATATTTAAAAATATCCTCCAAACTGGTAAAGTCAGACGATTTTACATAAAATTAAATAATTTAAAAATGATTATTTAAACTCCACACACTTGATATCTGCATAAGGAGTGATGTAATCAGACTATTTATTCCATCAGTGAGACAAAATGTTTTATGGAGCTAGATCTCTGAAATATTAAATAGAAAGTCTTTTATCTTGTATATACACAAAGTGTTCTTTCCACAGATATTTACATGGCAAATATGTTAAAAGGAGAACCACTATGACTAAGTCTCTACAAGTATAGCATCCTTTTTGAGCTGAAACAATTCACAGAAGCTTTTGGAGTAAAATCTAAACAATTAAAATACCTATATTTCATAGTAGGTAAAGAAGCCATTAAATGATATTTCAGTATAAGGATTCTGGAAACAGCTACACAGTAGAGTTTTACATCCACCCTCTTTCCAGCTTTCACGATGAAATTAGACTTCTTCAATGTATAGGAATGATAATAGTGTACTTCAAGATGCACATGTAAAATTCTAGTTCAGCCTCCTCGATATAAACTGGTCAGCCGCTCCAGTTCTTTGCAGTTGTCCATGGACATGGAGTCTGCTTTCCTTTGGAGACGCTCATCTCGGTAGACTTTTGCTGCATATAGTAAGTCTGTTTCTTTAAAAAAAAAGTTTGGGGTTAAAAAAAGTATGACTTCTAACTGTCCCCTTACCCTTCTGTTTTCTGCTTCCAGTGGATACCCACAGCAACATCCGTATCTTAGCACTGTAACAAGGCTCCCTCCTGCTGGTTCTCCGTAAGAACTGCTTCTCAGTGTAACACTTCCCATGTTTTCAGGTTTCACACAGTAGCTGTTAATTTAAGAGCTGGTTTTGCTCTGCCCCCTACTGGTTTGCTATATACTAATGCAGATGTGTACCATTTCATTCAGGTGATTAATGCATTATCAATATCTTTAGAGATCTCAGCAGCAGTAAAATTAAATGCACTTCTGAAACTACATCAGGCTTCACAAATCAGTGCAGTGATCTGAGGAATTAAAACTCTTCTCTCTGTATTACAGAGGTGATGTAGACCAGTGGTTTTCAACCTTTTTTTATACCAGGAGCCATTTGTAAACTTTGATAGTCCTGACCCAGTGCCCCTCACTCCTGACCTGCTGCACCCTGGCACCAACCCCTCAGTGTAGGGGGCAGGAGGTGGGTGAGAGGCAGGGCAGGCCCAAGCAGCTTCTTGCAGGGTGGAACTCTGACAGACTGCAAAGGAAAAGACATGATTTCCCATATTTTTCTCCATTTTTAAAGTTTACTGATCCATTTTTAAAGTTTGTTTGTGACCCTTTCATATATTCTTACAACCCACTTTTAGGTCGTGACCCATGGGCTCAGAAACACTGATGTAGATAGACTACCTATATTTTTTTGGCTCCTAGGTTGAAATCAATTAACAATCCATCTTTAAAGACAACTAACACTGGAAGAACATTTTAAGTACTTGGTGTTTAACTACTTGATGTATAAAAACATAAACAAACATGAAGCAGACAGTTTAATAAAAACATATAAAGTTTTAAATTACTATGTACAGATAAAAACTGATGTTTAGAATTTGAAGGGAGGGGGTTGCTTTTTTGTCTGTTTAACTGTTTAGGAAATTAAGAGATTTATAAAATCGCAGCCTTGTATGTACTGGAAACAATTTAATTACAACAGTGACCCTGCTTTTTTGTGGAGAGAAACACAGGGTAAACCATGAGGTACTCTGATTAGAGTTTACCATTAGAAAGTACTTCTGGTAGTTTTAAAAGGATCGTGTGCTGGATGATGCAATTAAATTGAGTGAAATTACTGGCTCATATTCTTCAAGCCAAGAATGTCTATTGGGTGCTAATTTTAAACAAAAATTACAAGTGCATTTTTTGGCAGATGAATGCACTCTTAGTTCTGAATAAACGACAAAGTCCTTGATTCATTTGTCCTCCATTTATTCTGTTGGCTATGTTACTGATGTGTTACTGGCTCCATGACTTACAGCCCTCATGTTTGTCAGAACAATTTTTCTAGATTTGGACTGGTTTATATTTCCATGAGAGATGTGGCAGCTAACTAGCCAATGAGAAATTAATTATTTGCTTTGGTTATGACCGTTTCTGCTAGGAATCCTCAGGAAGATTACTGAAAGACCCTTTGGTAATGGATATCTAATAATTTGCAATATTTGGTTACAGATTACATCAGAATACTCTCTAATGACTGAACATACACATCCACAAAATCTCATTTTTCATGACAATTTTCCAAAATGTGTCTGTGCTGAATCTAATTTTAAGTCAACTGGTGCAAAGTATCATTGAAACAGCTTCTTAAAAGATGCTCTACTGTGCAAGACTCAAGTTAGAAATCCTCTTTCCCAAAGTTCATTCCTTTAGAACAACTTACCTATATAAATTATTTTCCAACCATGTCACTTACAGATATTTCTTTATAAGAAAATCTGCCTACAGCAGAGCTATTTTTGCTTCTTAATTCCCTCTGGAAATTAACTTTCATATAGAATGTTTCTAGATGATTGAGATACCTAGTTCGAAAGGTGTCTTTATGCATAAAGTGAGTTATGAAGGTACAGGACCATGGAAGAGTGGGCCAGTTGAAGTTAGTTTTGATTTATAACATTAGAGAGTTGTTTTTGGTGAATAGATGGCTTCATGGATCTCTCAGCCATTTGTGATATGCCTCAAAATTTGGACTATTTGCAACAGATGCAATTGGTGAAAGAAGACAACTTCTTTCCACCCATGGGACAGCCTTCACTGAGGGATGTGTATACATTTCTGGAAAATGTCTCAGTTAACTGATGGTGATCTCACAATACTTAGGCCACCATTCCTTTCTGGCTGTCATAGTGAAGAGTGAGATGGAGAATGGAGTAATGTATTTATTTCTCATTGTTTATTCATTTGAGTATACATTTATCAATCTAGGCCAACAATCTAGGAGTTCATTTTTTAAGAAAAGACTACAGATGGCACTCCTATCATTTTGCAGGTGGCAATTATTTCCTTGGATCACTGAGGAAAAACTATGCAAATTTAGATAAGGTATAATATTTTGTTTTGAAAAAGTGGTACACGTGGAATGCCTCCATATTGGTTCATTAAACACACATACTAACAACAACAACTTAATAAAAATAGCTGCTTCATTTCTTCCAAACATGGACATAAGATTTTTCTTCTAGTAACATGTTTGTAACAAGCATCAAATATTAGTCATAGAGTCAACTTACTTTGCTGCCTCTCCTTCCAACAGTTATTTCGAATGTTTGACACATAATCCTCTTCCACATTCTTTTCTATCTTCTGTAAAGATGCTCCTTTGTATTCATTTCTAAAGTCTTTGTTGACATAATAAATGACACCCAGGTTTTCTGTCTGCATTTTAATGGTCTGCCCTGTGCTCCTGTAAGAGAGGCATCGTTTTGTTAGTCTGTATTTCAAATGTTCCCCTTAGTGAAAAGCATCAGTAATTCACTGTGTTCATGAAAATAAAAACTCTGCTTTTTCTGTCTCAAAAATTAACTTTGGTAAGATATCTTTGTTTAATACACTGTGTTCATTGATAAGATCATATAATAACAAATTACACTGGAACCTAGTAAATTTAGAAAAAAAAAAAAGGTCATTATGCCATAGTGATCAAACATTTCACTCTAAAATGTTTTACTCCAACTCCTGACAAATTCTTCTGCCTGCTGATATTTTCTGGATTTAGGAGTCAAGGATTGTGGAAATGGGGTCACAGAGAGGTGTTTATTAAGCATCACAGCAGCTTAGTTTCAGAAGAAAACAGTATCTTTCCTGTTGAGCTCATGAACTCTGAAGCAGAATGAGAGAGAAGGGTTTTTTCTTCTGTGGAAGTTAGGACCCTTCAGACAAGTAGTGGCAAAAATGATAATCCATAGACGATTCATCTGCTGGGTGATTAGTCAATGATATCTTTCCTTAAGCCAACAGAACAAATTATAGATGTTATTAGATATTTAATAGATACAGTTACAGCATCAGTACTTCCTTTTGGACATTCTGGGGTAAAATACTGTTGTAGTAGACTTTGCTGCAAAGAGAATGAACGGAGAACGTCTTTTGCCTTTATCACAGTTCAAAAAAGAATCTTCTGCCCTGTATTTTTAAGAGAGGAACTTTCTGCAAAAAAGTGTTAAATGCTTACAAAGAAAGAAAAAAAGGTTTATTAAAAGAAAATCATGCTTTCCTCTTGCTGAACAAATTTAAATCATCGTTACTTACGATCTGGGATATAAGGTGTAGGGAGGATTAGAAACCATCAACTGGCTCAATAAGGAGACAAGGATCAATACAATGATAGGCATCAGCTGGATGAACATAGAGAAGCCTCCCTAACAGAGAAAAAAAAATGGATTTTAGCAATTCATAAAACGAGGTTCGAGTGAACAGGCAATTTTTTTTGACAGTGCTTAGTCCTAACTAAGACAGTCTTTCTTTAACCCTGAACAGCATCAATAAACCAGAAGTTGTTAGACCAACTCTGTCAGCCTACATAGTTGTGCATGCTGACAGGTATCCCACCTCAGAGTTGCCGGCAGTCTTTTTTTTTTTTTTTAAATCAGTATCACATCAGTGCCCAGTGGCCCTAGTCAGCATCAAGATCAAGGTCAGGCTCTGACTGTGGCTGGCAGCACTGTCCACAAATATGAGAGAGTCTTTTTCTCCAAAGCACTCAGTTTCAATATATACAACATTAATCTGCTCACAGCAATGGGAATACACTACCTCTCAGCATACAGCACTGATGTTTAAAGACTCCAGTGGCCTCATCCAGAGATCTCTAAAGTCAACAGTCTTTTTGCCGACTTAGACTCTACATCAGGCCTACGTAGGCCTCGTGTAACTAAAGCTCTCATTTACACATGGAGACATTTGGGAGTAGCCATAGTTTTTTTTAAATATGAGCCTTACTTTAATATGAATTAGCTTACAAGTGTGGACAAACACAGAAAACAAGTGAGCAGAAATTTACTTCAGTAGGATGCAAACGACATGCAGTATTTGATAGAAGAAAAAAGTATCTTTTTCAAATCTGCCTATTTACAAACACAACCAGACTGTCTCACATCAAGCCCGCAAAGTATTTCACTTGCAAATGCAGGTCTCCCTACAGCATGCAAAGCTCCCCTGAAATCATACCATGTACATGACAACAGCTAACTTTCTCTTGCAGTAGATTTCAGTCAAAAAATGTTCAAACATACATCACCCCTCTCCTCTTCTCTTTCATGTCCACTCTGTCGGTGTTGGTTAGGATGACTGTATCCAGCCCGACCGTTAGAAAATGAATGTACACTACCTAAGAAAACAGAGTGTAAGATCACCATCTAATTACACTTAAAATAGTGCACCCTTAAATTACTAAATACTTTGAATCACATTAAATAAATCATGTTAAAATATACTTTGAATCATATTAAATAAAAGTCCATATTCTTTCTGTAAAGTAACCATAGTAACTGGAAAGTAACTAAAATTAAAATAATGTTAGTATTAACCACTACATAAAGAAAAATACATTGCTTACAGTAGTTTATAAGGATAAATTGCTTTAATTATAGCCATAATAAAACATCAGAATTCTATAGTGCATCTCTAAAAACATGCCCTTTAACCATTAATGGATAAATACCTGTTGGAAATGCCCCCCCAAAGAACATGTTGAACAAATCCTCTGGCGTAATATCAGCTTCACAACCTCTGTGGAAGTTAAATCTACCATTGCCGGGGTGATTGCATGCTTGCTCTTCACTGCCGGTGAGGTCATACTGCTTTCGTTTTTCTGGATTGCTCAGCACAGCATACGCATTTCCAATCTCTGGAATAAAGGAAAAAAAGATGACAGCTCACAAATGAATGATGATAATGTTGTAATTTCTAAGTAAAAGATAATATAATGGACTTTCATATGCTTCTGAGAGGATACTGTGTTAGAACAGCATTCAGAAACAGCTGATCTTCTCCTACCTTAGATTCCCTCCTGGTTGTCCACAGGTGTGATTTTATATACTTGTGTAAATATAGCTAGATTATACCCATATTTAAAGAGAATATTCTCCTTTTTTAAAAGAGGTTTTTCTCTCTTCTTCCAAAACTGCTATTATTCATAATAGTTAACTCTAGTGTAAACCCAAAAGGCACGAAATTCCATAACTCTGGCTTTCTCCAATTATTTTAACTACTATGTAGCCATTCCTCTCAATTTTATGGATGATACTAACATGCCCTACATTAAGATTTACAATCAGCAAAAGAAAGAGAAATAGAAAATATTAACTGTATGCAGCATGATATGCTGCAAAATGCTAAAGTAACTTTAACTTCCAGAATTACCCAACTTAAATGTTTGATCTTAAAACATTAATGTTGTATAGAAAATAATCTTTTATTTAATTTCTCTGGTTTTGGAGTGGTGAAAGGAAAAAGCTCAGTAAGGCAGTCTGAAAATAATCAGTTTAAACAGCTTACAAGCTCTCCTGGTTTTACCCAGGCTCAAAAGTCCTTTAAATTCACTAAGTATTCCCAGGTACATAATGTATCCATGATGTACTGGATAATAGGGCTGTGTGAACCTTTGGTCACTGATTTGATTCGGAGGAGATTCAGCCCAGTTCAATGGCTGATCTTCGAATTCGAATCAAATCAGGAGACTCTTTAATCTCTCTGAATCGAATTGGAGAGATTCGACAATTTGGCCATAGACAGAGCTTTAAACGATTTTTCTATATACCTCAAGGTACCAGGCGGCTTGTGAATGCTGAGATGCTGGGGCGGATGGAGCATCCCGCAGGAGTGCAGGGGAGTTCCAAGCGTGCTTGGTGGTGGACCTGGAAATGGACCAGAAGCATTTCCAATCCACTTCTGGGTCCACTGCGGAGCACGGCCTCCTCTCCACCCCCAGCTCGGTGACTGGTGCCTCCTGGGTCTGGGGGGGGGGCACCCAGGTCTCCTCGCTGATTGCCAAGCCAGACAGGCCATGGAGGGGGTGGGGGGATGTCTGCTGCTGAGCACGCAGGCCCCCCGCCCCCCCCACTCCTCTGGGACGCTCCCTCTGCCCCACCGTCGCATCGTTCACGAGCTGTGCCTGGTACCTTGAGGTATGTAGAAAAAACATTTAAAGCTGTGTATATGGCCGAAATCGCTGATTCTCCGAATCAGTATCGAATCTTCAGATTTGGATTTGGCTGAATCGAATCAGGACAGTGATCCAAATCAACAAATTAAATCATTGTCCCGATTTGGGCCGAATCCGAATTGAATACAGCTCATTTAAGGTTATCCAGTAGGGGTGTGCGAAATCTACAGACCTTTTGGAGTAAGTCAGTACAACGTTCAATCTGCTGCATTTTTAGTAATTAAAACAAAGTAATTAAACAAGAATTATCTTTAGTAAATTAAAACAGTAATATCAAATCTTTTTAATACCATGACAATGGTACCACCTCTGGTCTGAAGGTTTAAATAGGTTTCTCCTCCTAAAACACACCACCTTCTCACAGAAAAAAAATCCCCAAAATCAAGAGACTGCTGACAAATACATTGCAACAATTTTTGCCATAACAACCCAACTCCAAAAACTAAACAAATAATATTTTTAAAGGTTAGATTTCAGTCAAAAATTTAGTCTGTGTAAAACACTATAGCAAAATTTAACAATTTCAATTTAAAGGAAAATTACATGCCTTGACTGAAGCAATTTTCTGTTTGGAGTACATTTGTCTATACCAGTACACTGCCACATTGCAACTTTATTTGAGAACTAGACAGTGACTATATTAGTATACACTGCCTTCTCTGTCTGAAGAACTAGTATTAAAGGCATAAATAATGAGAGTTTGACTTTGAAAGTTAATAATTTAAGGTGCAATTAATTAGAAGGCAGATTTATTTTTAAACTAATTTATGTTTAATTGGATCACGATACATTTTAGAGAATAAGGCTATTAAGAGCTATTAAGGGAATTATTTGCAACTAACTTGGTTTTTATGAGTTATTTTCCATCTTAAAGCCTTTGGCTGCTTGTACACGTCACAGGGATTTACTTCAGTTTCATTCTCCCTAAATTGAAGCGTTCAGTTTAAACCGAAGTAAACCCCTATGGCGTGTACGCAAAGGTAAGGCCCGATCCTTACCTGCCTCTCTGGCAACAGGGTGGGGGATGGCAAACTGCTGGCAGGCCAAGTGGTCCCTGAGCTGCCGGCGGGGGGGGTGGGAAGGAGGCAGCCGGGAGTTTCCCTCTGCAGCAGCGCCCCCCAGGGGGCACCTGTCCGAAGGCACCCAGTCCAGGCAGTCCCAGAGGCCATGACAGCCGTGGAGGGAAGCACCAGGCCACTGCATAGCTCAGGCAGGTGGGCAGGCTCTGGAGTAGGGGGGCCCAGATCCAGCCCATGGGTCGCATTTTGCCAACCCCTGCTTTAACAGAATAGAAGTTTGGCACCCACGTGTGTTCTGTTTGCTACCAGTCTAAACTATGCCACTTATAGAAAACTGCATAACGTAGATCAATTCTGCCTCAGGCTTTTTGAATGTTTGTACCTAGCCATAATGTCTTGAGTTAAGATCTGGTCAAAAGGCAGCTATAAAATTTGACCATTTTTGAAAAAAAGGTGTTTTTGTCTGAAAAAAAATGAAACTTCATACACAAAATTTTAAAGGAAAAGGAAGCTTGTCATGGCATGCAACTGACTAAAAATTGCCCTCTAACTTGAAGTAGGTTTTTTTAAAAGCTTCAACAAAAAGGGCACAGTCAAACTTATATTTGACATAACTCCATTGACTTCAGTGACATTAAACTGATCTGGACTGTGCAGAATGGCAAACAGCACTTACGATGGAAAACAACATGCTTCTCTTTTATATACTGTAACACAGGGGTCAGCAACGTTTTTGGGCAGAGTGCTGAAAATACATGCAACCTTGACTTGTAAGATACTGACATGCCAGTAGTGGATGGTGGGGGAGCTGTGAGGGGTCTGATCCTTGTTGTAGCATCATTGCCCCAGCCCCTTCCCTGACTGTCCACTCTGAAGCATGCATAAACCCACTGCCAGCAATGAGCCAGGCTGGGGCTCCATGGACCACAGTGCAGCTGCTTGCAGCCTCTTGGCTAGCTGCCACAGCCTGCCCAGGCTCTGGGCAGGTCCCTGCCACCCGCCACGGAACCCACACTACTTGCATCAGGCGGTAAGGAGGCTGCAAGCAGCTGTACCAGGGTCCAGGGAGGTCTGACCTGGCTTCTTGCTGGCAGCAGGTGCACATGCACCTTGAGGTGGACAGTGGGGAAGGGGCTGCGCTGCCACAAGCGGCACCGGGCCCCTTGCAGCTCCCGTGCTGCCTGCCCAGAGGTACACATGCCAAACAAAATGCTTTCATGTGCCATACTCTGGCACGTGTGCCAGAGGTTGTCTATCCCTACTGTAATGTCTCTGATAAAGTAACATTGGATACTATAAACTTTTGTTATCTCATATAACAGTGCAAGTGATTCAGATACATCTCTTATTATGGTGTCCTTTCAAAACAGTCTTGTTTCTTGTAGAATTGTGACAGTCTATTCTTATACATTGTTAACACCCCCCATAAGCACCGTTCCTCAGTTACATGGTCCTTTGGGCTACAAATGCCTGAGGCACACTAAGCACTGGTAAATATAAAAACTTTGAAGGAACAGTATGAATATATATCTTGCAAAATGTATGATCATATTAAATTAGCCAACATACCTAAGAGTCAACTGAGTGTAAAATGGCATAAAAAGAAAGGTAACTGAGTTGTATTACTAAATATTACTCATGGTTTGCTGTTATATTTCAAGCAATCCTGAACTCACTGACTTCAAAAGCCCATATTGCCATATTCAGCTTTCAAATACATGTTGAACTACCCCTGTCAAGGGTGTCAAACAAATCAGTTGGCAGGCCATATTCCCTGCCACCACTTAGGGGATTAATGTTACTACTTACACATCCCCCACACCCTCCAGGGCCACTGTAAATTCTAAAGGGGAAGAGAAAGCAGGGAAGAGGTAGGGGCAGAGTTTGTAGGGTGAGAGTGTACCTACCTCAGATAGTGGCTACATTAACCTGTTAAGTGTTGGCTCTGGCAACAGTAGCTCTGAGAAGCCTCCTGAGTTGGATGACCCACCTCTGCAGGCCAGATTTGGCCTGGAGGCTGTGTGTTTGACACCCTTGCCTTAGGTTATAGCAGACATTATGGCTACTTACAGAGATTAAAAAAAACAACCAAACAAAAAACCGGCACTTTACTTTAAACTTGGCGTGCTCTTGTGCCGAGCCCAGAGCATGCCCAGACAAGGCATTCCATTAATTGGACCTTGCTCACTCAATGTGTACGTAGATCAGGTGCTTTAGTAGGCTTTCTTGGCACTTTTATCTAATAGCTGCTCGAATTGGCTTCAGATAAAAGTGCCAAAAAGCCCTGCTGAAGCACCCCCGATCTATACAGACACTGTGAAGCCAGGTTGAACTAACTCACTCCATCCGGTAAAGTGCGGTGGAGGGGGTGTTGTTTGTTTGTTTTTTAGCATCTGTAAGCACCATATGTGATTATAAGGTCAGTCACTCTCTGAAAGGAAGTCATTATTTAAGGAACCTCTCTCAGCTATACAATGTACCATGGATTTTCAATTTTACATATGTAAGATTAATTTATGTTTTAAAATATTCAGTTTTGCAAAACAGATGGGCCCTTTCTGTTCTGATTGATTTTTCCATGTACAACGTTTAAAACAACCCAAACTTTTACTTTTGAAAGCTTCCGTTGCTCCAGGTGCATGGTTTTTGTCTGGATGAAATTTCAAAGCCAATTTTCGATAAGCCTTCTTTAGGTCTTCATCACCTGCATCTTTTGCAACTCCAAGTACTTCATAATAATTTTTACATTTCTTTATACTGTAAAAGAGTTAAAGAAATAAAAGATTTCAAACCAAGAATATTTAAAGGCAATAGGAGGAAACAAAATACCCAAAGTGTTAACTTGCTGCACAGACATCCAAATGCTTGGTATGCTATTTAAAAGCAACAAAGGACTCTAGTCCAGAATGTCATTTGTAAACAGGGCATATTCTCACACAACAGATTACAATGTACTATTAGATTATGGTAAATTCATAGATTACTTGCTTCTAATACTTTTTGATACATTTTACTCCTATTTAGACTACAGAGCAAATAATAATTGAGGAGAGGGCTTTAGATTCTATTTTGCCTTGGACAATTGCAACAGACTTATTTAATTTTCAATTGCAAAATGCTTTCCTGATAAAAAATACATGAAACAGAAATTACCTGACTTGACTTTTCAGAACGAAGAGTCAGAAATAATATTTGTACTTTGTAAACAAATGCATATGTTCTATTAATGGTATCCAAATCTAAATGCCATACTACAGTCTCTCTTTGGCCCGGTCTATGCTGCCTCCAAGGCAAACCTGGAAGTGGTGCCAAGAAACACAGTCCCACCCATCTGCACCTCTCTGCACACACAAACCTGCAAATTAGGCAACCTAGACAGGGTAGAGCAGCCTGAGGTGCATGTCTGAAGGCTCAGAGCTGAGTGGTCATTAGCAGGGATGCTGGTTTTCCCTGATAAAAATTACCAAATTCACTACTAAAAAAACCCAAAAAAGCCACACAAATTCTGTAATAAAAAACCCCAAATCTGTGATTAAAATTAAAGGCCCCCCACAACTCCCCCAGCCCTGCTAGTGCCCATCACTCCCTACCCACAGTCCCCTAGCCCTGCTTGTCTCTCACTCCCACAGCTCCCACAGCCTTGCTGGTGTCCCTGGTCTGCAACTCCCTGCCCCCACTCTTGCCTGCTGTGGGCTTGGGCAGGGTGGCTCCCCGCCACTGCATGCACTCCCAGGGGGTAGGGGGTACCTGCCCCCCAGATCTGTACATGGGGCAGGAGCAGGCTGTGGGCTCGAGCTCCCGCCCTGTTTCCCCCCTGGGGGTCTCCACAGCCCTGCAGGTATGACTCAACGCAGTTGGGGACAGCTGGGCCATACAGGGACCTCCTCGCTGCTGTGCGCACACCCCCTCCCCGCTGAGGGGTGCAGCCCCTCACTGCAGCCCCATGTGCAGGAGGTGCGTCACCAAGGCAGTGCAGGGCTTGCAGTGGCAAGCAGCTTCTCCACTGGGCCCACTGTTTCCTGCTTCCCTGCTCCAGGGCCTCCAAAGCCCAGCGGGCATGACCCGGTGCGGCAGGGAGCAGAGGAGCTGCACAGAGAACCTGCTCACCACTGCAAACCCTGCGCTGCCCTGTCGACATGCCTTCTGGGTCCAGGACTACAGTGAGGGAAGCAAAGTGGGGTTGTGCAGGAGCCTGCACCTGCAATCTGTACCTCCTCCACACACAAATCTGGGGGGCACGGGTCCCTCCTGCCCCCTGGAAGTGCACTTGGTAGTGGGGAGCTGGCCCTCGCTCTTCCCCAGAGGAGCCCCCTACAGCCCCATCCTGCTTCCCGCTGAGGCCCTGTAGCCATGCATTGCAACTTGGGCCCCAAGCCCCACCCAGCTGGGCAGCAGCTCCAGCCCTGCCCAGCTCCCTCCCTACAGGGGCCTCAATCCCCCTCTCCCCTCCATTTACCTGCCAGAGCTGCTCTCGGGCTGCCTGAGGCCACGTGCATGTCCCCTGTTTTTCCATCTGTCTCACCACCTTCCTCCTACTCCCTCCCAGCTCCCTGCATGCTGGAACTCTGCCAGCCTGCAGGGAGCTCATTGCAAACCAGCAAAATCCATGGGTTTCTCTTGTAAAACGAGAAATCCGTGTTTGCCTCTGGTAAAAGTTAAAACCCACCGTTTACTCTGTTTTTTCATGGGAAAAAGAACACCCAGATTCCTGGTCATAAGTGACTAGAGAAGGGGTTGTCAACCAGGGGTACTCATACTTCTAGGGGTACTTGGAAAAGTCCTAGGCCTAAGGGGTATGCACGGGTGGGAGGGGATGAAGTGCCGCCACCCACCACCCCATGGTGCACCTCTGCAGGTCACACAGGCACTGCCTGGCCGGCAGGACGCAAGGGAAGAGAGCTCGCATGCAGCGGCTGCCTCCACCATCCACCACCCCACACTGCCAATGCCACATATCACTTTCCCACAGTTGGTCGCATATGCACCTCTGTGGGCTGCTGACAGATGGGCAGTGTACAACTGCCCAGGTGCGAGGCCTGTCAGCAGCCCAAGGATCCGCACATACGGCCACCCATGGGAAAGCGGTGCACCGGGTGGCAGGTGGCAGTGGCCACATACAAGCTCCCTTCCCCCATTCTGTGTCCAGCCTTCGCCACTGGAAGGGGTATACTTCCTAAATAAGGTTGAAAACCCCTGGACTAGAGCCACACTTCTTGGTAACTTGCTGCCTGGAGACATTCCAGAAGCTTTAGATTTACCTCCGAGGGAAATAATGCACTGAGGCAACACCTAGGGAGATTTTAATGGATCAGAATACATCTGGATCCTGAAAGCATATGTCTTTCTTTAAACTGTTTATATAAAACTGGAGAAATAACAAATCACCACAAATCCTATATTTCACTAGTACTACTAGCAGGGAGTACTAGTACTACTAGCAGGGAGGTGGCAGTAAGGACCAGAACTGCCACCAGCAGTTCTGGTCCTTACTGAGGAAGACAGAGGCAAAGAAGTTATTAAATATGTTGGCTTTGTCGTCTGGCGTGACAACCAGATTCCCTGTCTTGTCCTGCAAGGGCCCCACATTTCCTGGGGCCTTCTTTCTACTCCCTATGTATTTAAAGAATGCCAACATCAAGACAGACCATGATGTCTCGTGTGGGACTGCTGCGTTCACAGATGGAAGAGGTGAAGGTTTAGTAGTAAATTCAGAAAAATAAGTTAAGCTGAAACTGTATAAATCAAGGCTGGCCAACTGGTGGCCTGCAAGGGGTTAAGTTGGGATTCCTGGGCTCCCACCTGGCTGCTGCTACTCTGACCGCTCCAGCTGAAACATCAGCCAGTCTCTCCAGGCTCCTCCTCTGGCTCTATGTTTTGCACCCACTCCAGGGGTGGTGGGGTGCAGCATGTGTAGCTCAGGTTGACACTGGATCTTTGCAGTATGCAGTGCAATGGTAGTGGTGCTGGGGCACCCATGTGGGAACATGCTGCAGTGATTCACTTGGGGTCACTGCTGTGGTGGAGGGGTGCTCACATGGGTACACACTTCAGTGCAGGGGAGTGAAGATGCTGCAGCAGGGAGTGTTCACCCCTCTGGTGCAGCTTGAGGTTTAGTGGAGGGATCCCATTTTCTATGTATAAGATGCAGAGACAACTTAAGGGAGCTATTTCAGGATATATTTGGGTAAAACTAAATACACAGTATGAACTCCCCATGATAAAAATATAGCCCACTATAGTGATGACACTTGCTATACTCTAGTTAGGAGATTTGTAAAGCTAATTAAAAATAATTACTGTGACACCAAAAAATAGAAACTATATATCTGGTTGTGCATGTGAGCACAAGAATTTGTTTCTTATTTTTAAGCTCAGCTTTTGGCAAGCTTTGTCCATCTGTACAGCTTACAGTCTCAAGAGGTTTATTAAATTTGGGAAATATGCCAGCTAGCCAATAATTCAAAGTTTAAAATAACAGGGATAGAGAATACTTCAGACAACCATTTTTAGCTCAAATAAGAAATCTTGACTTTAATTCTGAATTCAGTGTTTTTCTTCAAAATCTGCAGTATCAGGATCACTTAGGATGAACACACCTGCTGAATTTATTTTGATAAATGCATAGTTTGTGTTTTGTTGGTGTTAAAAATACGTTATTCAAAACATTTGAGCATACATCCAGAGTCTATCACCCTCCAAAATACCTTTCAACTGTTGAAAGACAGTTTATAAATTCTAACAAACCCTTGTGTGGTGCACAGGAGACAGAAGTGGAGGGGAAAAAAAACAAAGAAACCAGAAAAACGCAAAGAAAGGGAATTACTACTAGGACCCAACCTAGCCCCAAAAGCAGACAAGATGGCTGGCATGATGATCTCTTTCCAGAAGACATACTGTTCAGCATGTTTCCTCTCCAACTGTAGCAAGCAGGATTCAGATATTGCCACAGCCAAAAACTGAAGCTAGCCCTATTCCACCGTGTCATCATAAAGGAACTAGATCATCTGCCCTTCATATTGTCTAGTACCTTTAACTTAGCAAGAAACACCAACTCAAAAGCAAACTTTGGAAGTACAAGAGCTCTGCTGCCAGACTGAAAAAAGGTTTCAGAAAGCTGTTTCTCTGCACCAGGTTTTCTGTATTTAGCTCATCAGTTACCATGCTACCTTTCATATGCCTGTGAAATGTAGACGACCATGTTACTGCTAATACATTTCCCCCCAGAACTTGATGAGTTTTCCCCGAGCAGTAATTAAGCTGAAGTATTGAGAGCAGAAATATTTTCATAAGGCCCAGTAAGTTTTTCTATTCTGGTTTTATCCTGAAGCCTATCCACTGCAGCCTTAGGGTGCCTATACACAAGTGCAGAGACTGTTCTGATGCACTGTAATTACAGCATGTTGAAGCAGACTCGATTAACTGAGTCTTCTGGAGTGTGGTAATTACTGCGCTCCAGCCAGCCTCCGTGTCTCATGCATCAGCATCCTCACACTTCAAGATGTAGCGGGGATGCTTTAACTAAAGCTTGAATGAGTTTTAGTTCAAGTGCCCCGACACCATTTTGAAGCACAGAGATGCTAATACATGAAATGCTGTGGCGCTGTAATTAGAGTAGCTCTTGGAGCTGCTCTAATTAAAGTGGCCCCCACTTTTCCCCCTCCCCAACACCACATATAAAAGTGCCCTTACTTTCTAAATAGTTTAAAAAGTCGTTATTTCTAACAGCCTAATAAAAAATGTCCTGATTTCTTTGCTTTTGTTTTCCATTTTAGTCCACCTTGATCTCTCATTTCTCCATTTCCAGTTAATCATCTTTTTAACCCCATATTGAGAATGTAATGATGTATATTTCCTTTTGCTGAATTTGCAGCAGCAGATTAAAAATATTTGGAATGGACTTCAGTGTGGCCAAATAACGTGTACTGTTTGTGGCTTGATTTTGATTTATAGAAACCTTGAGCCAATTGTTCTGGCTTACTTCTAAACCTAAATAAAGGTAACTGATTCTTGTGAACTGCAACAAGGGTACATTCTAATCCTGTTTGGGAAGACAATGTCAATAAGAATGTTCTTACTGCGAGAGAACCCTCTCTCACCCCTCCCCTTCCAAGCAGTATTCCAACAAACACTTAGCAAAAAATGATCACATGTCTACCACATTTCTAATCACAGCAGGAATTTTTCAGGTATCCAATGGCAGATTTGCAGTTTGTGCTAAGGATGTTGATGATGAGGATGATTATTCTAATACTAGCCAATTGCCTGTCATAAATGATAGGCCTGTGCGAGTCGGCAGCCATCTGATCCGGCTTCGGATCCAGCCGCTTCGGATGGCAGCGATCCGATCCGGAGCTCCGGACCGGGTTTCCACCTCGATCCGGCCGAAGTGGCTCTGAAGCTTTGGAGCCACCTCAGAGATCCGGCCATAGGATATTAAGGGGGAAATCAATGAAATATCTATAACTTGGTTGGTTTTTGTCTGATCTGGATGAACCTTGCAGGGATGGTAGCCTCTGCTGAGAGCATGAAACCTGCCAATTTTCAAAGAGATCAGTGCAGGGGTTTGGGGGGAACTGTACCCCAAATTCTTGAAAGCCAAACTCCTGTCACATCTACGTGTTACACCACAGGGTGGGGGGGTCGAAACTGCAGGGGAGGTAGCTCTTGCCGAGGCCACAAAACCTGCCAAGCTTCAAGATCAGTGCAGGGGTTTGGGGGGAACTGCACCTCAAGCTGCGGACAAGCAAAACTCATACCATGGGTGACACTGTGTGTGTTAAGACACAGCAGGGTGAAAGCTGCAGGGGTGGTGGCCCTTGCTGAGGCCACAACGCTTGCCAGCTGTCGAGGAGATCGGGGCAGGGGGGTTCTGGGGCCCTGCACCCCTAGCTGCTGACAGACAAAACTTGTGCCACGGGTGCCTGTGGGACAGACTATTTCTGTCTTGTTATAGATATTTTATTGTTTCCTCATTATACCCTATGGTCGGATCTCCAAGATGACTCCAAAGCTTTTCGGAAGCTCCAAACCACTTTGGGAAGCCGAACGAGGCGACGCTTCGACCCGGATGTGCTGCTTTGGACCCGAAGCATCCGAAGCTACTCCGGATCTGAAGCTCTGCACAGCCCTAATAAATGACGGAGCGTTTCAGGAAGAGCTTACATGTCACCCACCACTCAGCCTTTGGGGATGGCCCTGTAAACCAGGGGTGAGCAATTATTTTGGGCGGAGGGCCACTTACTGAGTTCTGGCAAGCTGTTGAAGGCTGCATGGGTAGCTCTGCCCTTTGGCAGGTGCCCTACCCCCTGGTCACCATCTTGTGACTGGAAGTCCCACCTCCTAACCCCTGACCTTTGCCACCAGAAGTCTTTCCCCTTGCCCTCAGAAGTACTCCTTTCAGCAAGGGGCTGTGCCATCTTGGAACCAGAAAAATACCACATTATATTCTCAAAAAGAAACATCTACAGCATTCATTAACTTGATTTCAAAAAATATTTTTGTCCTGATTTACATGCGTTTGTGTAGTGTACACAGAGGTGACTGCACAATAGTTTAAAATTAAGTCTTACTCTTGTATATTGTGGGGGGCAGATATAGGTTTGTGGGGGGCTGTAGGCGTGTGGGTATGTTGGGTGAAGGAGCATGTGGGTGTGTGGGGGTCTCTGTGTGGAGGGGGGGTGCCTGGGCTATGTGAAGGGGTGTGGATGTGGGGGTCTGCATGTATGGCAGTGCGAGGCAAGTGTGGGTACATGTGTATGGTGGGGTGTGCGTGTGGGACTCATCCTATGAACACCCCCCCCACGCACTCTGCCCCTGGCTGCACACACACCCACCCTCCCACTCTGCCCCTGGTTCCCTGCCTGAGGGGTGGGGCCCATACAGCCAACTGCCACCTGCCCTCTCTGGGGCGCATGTGTAGTTGGCCCCCAGCGTTACAGCCGGACAGATGCACAGACAGAAGTACTAAAAACTTACATGCTCCCTCACCCCACATACCCACAGCCCCCCACAATATACAAGAGCAAAACTTCATTTTAAACTATTATATACAATCACCTCTGTACACTACACAAACACATGTAAATCAGGACAAAATCTTTTTTGAAATCAAATTAATGAATGCTGTACACGTTTCCTTTTGAGAGTATGATTTGGTATTTTTCTCGGTCCAAGAAGGCACAACCCCCTGCTGAAACGAGTACTTCTGGGGGCAAGAGGACAGCTTTATGGTGGCAAAGGTTAGGGGGCAGGACTTCTGGTTACACGATGGCAATCGGGGGGGGTGGGGCACTTGCCAAAGGGCAGAGCTACCCATGCAGCCTTCAAAAGCTTGCCAAAAACTCAGTAAGTGGCCCTCCG